TGCTCCTCTTTTATTTCCTCTGGCAACTCTGCTCATGCGCACACTGGGAACAGGCTCCAGCTGTTCGTCTGCTTTACTGATGTCTGACTCCGAAGGCAGCTGATAACTGTCAGATGGCTCTGGCCCCCTCTCTGCGTCTGATAGAGAGTCCTCACCCGAGCCTTCCCCAGACTCCAGGACTGGCCCATGTTCCTCCCCAACCTCCTCACTGTCCGAATCTGCTGCCAGCTCTTCTGCCTGCTGGCGGGCCACAACACCCCTTTGGGCAAACATACAAGAGCCCATTTTACCATGGCAGGATTGAAGCGTTCTTTGCGAGAGGACAGTAAACTTTTTTTTTTCTGGCAACGGCAGTGGGCTCCCCGTTTTCCGCGCCCCCCAAAAGAAGCAGGACAGCAACTTTAAAACTAACGCCATCTCTTTATTATGCTCTCTTTCCTGTATCATCAGAAGAATAAAAAAAAAACATTTTCCCAAAATAAAATACAAATCAACGGGAAGGACAGTGGCTCCAGAAGAGGGGAGCAGGAGGGGCTGGGAATCAAACTTATCCCCATGTTAGGGGGGAGGGAGGGGGGAGAGCCCTACCACTTCGGCTGCCTGCCAGCCACGCCGGACCCCTCTCGGCCCTTCCAGCAGTGGGCAAAGAAACTCACTCCCCCTCGTTCCTCCTCGCCTGCAAAACTCAGGAGCTCGATTTCGGGGAAAGTGCCCCCCACCACCAACTCCTCCCCCCGCCCGAAGGTCAAAAGAAAGGCTGGGGAATAGCTCAGCGGCGCCCCCCTCTGTCCTGTACAGGCGTGCTCCGACTCCGACTCCGGCTGTGGCGGCTTTTGGCTTCGCGCCGTTCGCGGTCTCCTCGGCTGCTGCGTTCGCCCGCTCGACTGGCCCCACCGCCGCTGGTGGCATTGGGACGCTCGCGTTCTCGCTCTCGGCTGTGTTCCCGCCGCTTGTCCCGCTCGGCTTGGCGGTTGCGTTCCCGCTGACGGGCTTCCTCAGCTTCCAGTTCTTTGCGCCGGCGTTCTCGTTCACGAGCCCGAGCCGCTCGCTCGGCCTGTTTCTGGACACACTGCAAGGAAAGAAGCAGGAGGGGAAGAGCAACTGTTGGAAGGACAGCCACATACAAGCAGTCGTAATTTACGAGTGCAACTCCAACATTTCAGTTGCTAAGTGAGATGGTTGTTAAGTGAATCGCTGCAGGGAGTCTTGATTTGCAACTGTTGATTTAATGAAGCTATAACTAGTGGCCTAGAGGCGGAGCTCTCGCCTCACAATCAGAAGGCTGCGTGTTCGTTCCTAGATAGAGGCAGATATTTCTCTCTTGGCATGTTGAGAATATGTATCTGCTGAATATAACTCCGCAATGGCAACAGGAAAGGCATCTGGCCACTAAATATTCAGCTCCATTGAGTTGCCCAGATTCCATCCCACAGCGGATTATGGGGTTGTTAAAAGATGATGATTTAATGAAGCTGGGACGGGACTGAAAAAAGGGACTTGTGACTGTTGCATCTCCCGTGGTCACATGATCCGAATTCAGACGCTTGGCAACTGACTCATATTTATGACGGTTGCAGTGTCCTGGAGTCATGTGATCACCTTTTGTCAAGTGAAGTCAATGGGGAAGCCAGATTCACTCAACACCCGGGTTAACAACTGCAGTGATTCATTAACAACAAAAGTCCATAAAATGGAGCAAAACTCACTTAATGCCTGTCTTGCTTAGCCACAGAAATTTTGGGTTCAATTGTGGTTGTAAGTTGAGGAGCAATAGCAATAGCAGTTAGACTTATATACCACTTAATAGGACTTTCAGCCCTCTCTAAGCAGTTTACAGAATCAGCAGAGTCAACGGAGGACTACCTATAACACAGTTGTTAAGTGAAGGTCACAAAACGGGATCACATGACCCCCGGAACACTGTAACCGTCGTAAATATGAGTCCGTTGGCAAGCTGAATTTTGACCAGGCGACCATAGGGTTGCTGCAATGGTTGCTAGGGGGGGAAAAGGGTCGTAAATCACATTTTTCAGGGCTGTTGTAACTTTGAACGATGACTAAACAAATGTGCTGTAAGTCGATGAAAGAGCCACATGCGGCTCCAGAGCCACATATTTCTCCAAATATCGAAATTAACTTCTCCACCCAAAGTTTCTGGGTCAGGCAAAAAAAAAAAAAAAAAAGCCCAGTCATCAAATTTGCTTTTTTCTTCCTAGAGACTAGAAATCAGAAAGAATTTAATATTTACGACGGTCGCGGTGTCCTGGGGGCAAAGTCAATGGAGAAGCGGGATTCACTTAACAACTGGGTTCCTCACTGAATCACTGCAGCGACTCGCTTAACCACGGCCTCAAGGCAGGTTGGAAAATTGGGCAGAATTCACTTAACGTCCATCTCACTTAGCAACAAAAACTCAGTTGCGGTCGTAAGTCGAGGACTGCCTGTAACGTGCATCCTTAGGTGGAGGTACTGAGTGCACCTTCTCATCCTCAGGGCCGAAGAAACCACATCTTGCAACCACCACGTCACCCCCACCAATGCCCATCCTGCCTCACCTGAATGTCCGTGAGGGGTAACCAATAAATGCAGGGGGCTGCCTTGGTTTTTCGGAATAGATCGTCGAGAAGTTTAGCCGGAGGTTCTTCCTGGGCCTTTTCTGTTGGGGAGGAAAGTAAAAATGTTGGTCATTATCCTGAGTTTTTGCACAAAAAAAGGGGGGGGGCTAAAGGAGGAGGCCTGGCATGAACCCCACCCCCACCCCCTTTTCAACCACTACAACTTGGTCACCTCTAAAGAGCAATCCTTGGGTCTAAAGCAGGGGTCGTCAATTTGCAGCTCTGGAGCCGCATGTGGCTCTTTCATCCCTCTGCTGTGGCTCCCTGTCGCCTGTCAGCTTCACAATTGATAGGGCTTTCGGTTAGGACAGGTAGAGGAAAAAGGATGCTCCGCTGGAGGGAGACTCTATGGTGGGGGAACCGGACTTCCGATTGGCTCCAGAATNGTTGGCCTGTTAGTAACCCAGTTGTTAAGTAAATCCAGCTTTTCCGTTGACTTTTGATTGGTGGAAGGTCGCAAAAGGGGATCGCATAACCTTGGGACACAAACACGGTCGTTAAGTATGAACCAGTTGCCAAGCATCTGAGTTTTAATCACCTGAATATAGGGGGGGCTGCAAAGGATGTAACTGTGAAAAATGGCCATGTCATTTTTTTAGTGCCGTTGTAACTGTGAAGCCACTAAATGAACTATTGTAAGTTGAGGACTCCCTGTCCTGTGTTTGTATGGTGCCTCTTGTGTGTGTCGGGTTTTTGGTTATTGATTGGGTGTTGATGGCTGTTGTTTGTTGTGGATGCTAAGTACTAGATAAGCCGGTTGATTGACGAAGGGCAGTTTCCCACGCTTCAATTATTTCCCTGGCTGTTTTTGTCCCTGCTCGGCCAACAATCTGAATAGCTGCAAAACTCTCCATAGATATTCAACTGGTAAAAGTAAAGGCTCCCCTCGCACATATATGCTAGTTGTTCCCGACTCTAGGGGGCGGTGTTCATCTCCGTTTCAAAGCCGAAGAGCTAGCGCTGTCCAAAGACGTCTCCGTGGTCATGTGTCTGGCATGACTCAATGCCGAAAGTGCATGGGACGCCGTTACTTTCCCACCCAAGGTGGTTCCTATTTTTCTACTTGCATTTTTTACGTGCTTTCAAACTGCTCGGTTGGCAGACGCTGGGACGAGTCACGGGAGCTCACTCCGTTACGCAGCGCTAGGGATTTGAACCGCGGACCTTTCTGATCGACAAGCTCAGCGTCTTAGCCACTGAGCCACCACGTCCCTGGGTTCAACTGGTGGATCTAGTTAAATGGCCCGGTGAAGCAAGATGTTCTCGTTTGGGGAACTTTCAACAGGAAAACAGACGAAAACAAGTTTGATTTTATAGGTTTTAAGTTTGTATTGGGAGCCGGCCAGAGTTGGTTAGAAGCTTTAGGAATGTTTTAAATAAATATATGAAATATAATCCATAGAAATTCTAGTGCTCCTCCCATTCAACGTTCTTTCTGCATTAATACGAGCAGTTCAACTGGGGTCCTTTGTGCTCTCTGAGCTTGGTTAGTTTCCTGCAGACATTTCGTGACCCAACTAGGTAGCATCATCAGTGCTAGAAAGGAAGGGGGGTTTGCTCTCTATTTATACGCCAAGTCTCTTGCCCTGTTAAGTGTTGGTGGGTGTTCTTGGTGGCTCCTTGATCAGGCTGTTGCTTACGGCGAATTGGTAGTTCCTCGATTTGGGATTTCGTTTACCATACCCCACACCCTGATGATGTAATCTAGGTGGGTCACGAAACGTCTGCAAGAAAACCAGCAAGTTCAGAGAGCACCAAGGACCCCACAGTCCTCCTCCTCCCACTCCGCAAACCCCACTCCCTCCTAGCACTGATGATGTTACCTAAGTGAGTCATGAAAGGTCTCCCAAGAAAACAACTTGGGAGAGAGAGAACCTCACAATTCTCCCCCCCCTCTCCTCCACACAACCGGTCTTTTCGAGCACTGATGTTGTTACCTAGTTTGGTAACAAAACGTCTGCAGGAAAACCACCAAGCTCAGAGACCACCAAGGGCCCCACGGTTCAACCGTGAGCTACAAATATTCTGCTCGTTCACATCCAGCAAAGTCAAAGGAGGATTTACGGCCACAGACCTTATCTGGCTTGGAGAGCTGCCAGGATGATATCTGCCAAACTTGGCAAGGAGTCTCGGAGAGTCACGAGCCAATGAAGCGAACTAATGGTCTCCTGCAAACTCCACTCCCCTTTTGCTCCTCTTTTATTTCCTCTGGCAACTCTGCTCATGCGCACACTGGGAACAGGCTCCAGCTGTTCGTCTGCTTTCCTGATGTCTGACTCCGAAGGCAGCTGATAACTGTCAGATGGCTCTGGCCCCCTCTCTGCGTCTGATAGAGAGTCC